ATATAGGAGTTGTTGGGCAGGATGAACTTTCCCTGCAACAGCTCTGTGTTCCATGACAATCACATGGCTTTAGGGCTGCCAACCCCCCAACGGGGGCGGGTTTCCCCCCGGTTTCCGCCCCCCCAATCCACTGCTGGCCAGCTGGTGACCATAGAGGTTTTTTACCCACATGCTAGAGTGTCCCTTGCACGATGTGCCTGGCATGATGATGTCACTTCCGGGTGATGTCACTGCAGCATGCATGCCTCACGCACCATAAAACTCCAGGAACCAGGCTGGAGCCCCCCGCTGGGACCAAGGTAAGACCTGGCAACTATGGGTTCGTTTTGCATTTCCCCACCAAAGCAGGATTCCCTAACCACAAGTTCATGCTTGCTTACGGGGCTTTCTTGTGTTGGTTCTCCCTGTGGGTGATTATTCCCAGGATGGCGTTCTCTTCATAGCTGTGACCGCAGGTTTTATTCTTTACCGGTTTCTTCATTTCCACCTGTAATAATTAATTAGACTGTACTTTTCCCCCTCAAATTAATTTTTCAAGAAACGAACATAACAATAAATTCCGGAATGAACACAGTTATGAATGAAGCCACAAAGGACACACACTTTGGCTCCAGCATCATCGCTTACCTGTGTGATGGGGCATATGAAATTCATCTGACTTTGGGTCACAGCTAGATCTTCGTCGACTTGTTCGAGGGCCTCGTTTCCCCCTGCATCCAGCTGAACACCGACTGTAGTGTGGGAAGAGAAGGAGAAAAAATTAAGCAGAAGCATAGCTGGTGTCCTTGAAGTAGCTGTTGCTGGTACTTGCTGTTAGTTCTAGCAAAATCAGAAATGAAGTCTCCCCCCCGGAACTTGAACTTGGATAGTGGACGCAGCTGCCTTGACCTAGAGGCTTCACGTGCTTGCAGCTGTTTGACCTGCAGTGCTGGAGACATGACCACAGTCTCGATCTGAGATCTGGTGGAAGAATGCAGCGGGAGAGGAGGAGGAGGTATGGAATCCAGCGTCTTCTTCCCAGGCCCGCAGCCAGGATATTTTTTTTGTTCGGGGGGGTATTAAAATTTTAAGGGGGCAGTTAAATTTCAGTTAATTAAATTAATCTGCATGCCTGCCTTTGGCTCATGGGGATGCTTTTGAAAGACTCACCACGACCAAGGTGCTATACACCAAGACTGGGCTAGCAGAAAGGGGGATTGTTGGAGATGTACTGAAGGTGCCACTCTTGGGTGCCCTTCTAGGCTTTCTTGCCCTGTGGAAGGGAACCCAAAAGGCAATTAAATGCCCTCTGCGGAAGGGAACTCAAAAGGCATCTAAATACCTTCTGGAGGCAGTTGAATGCCCTTCGAGCTGTCTTTTCCCGGGTCCCATGATGCCTCCCCCCAAATCCCACAGTGGGAGGGAGAGGAAAACCCAACGACAAGCCGTGGCGGACTGCCAGCCACAGGCAACAGGGGGCTCTGCCCTCAAAAATACGGATTCTGGCATGGCTATTTGTGGGGTGGGGTTTTTAATTAAGGGGGTGGGCACCTCGAAATGCCCCACTGTGGCTACGGGCCTGCTTCTTCCTCTCCTGAACTGACATTATCATCCATTTTCAGTGAGGGGGCCCCACGTGTATGGCCACAAATGTCAGTTGGGGGGGCACGTGTATGCCACCCATGCCAGGCCCCATGTTCACAAGACTCACTTGACTGTGTGGTCCTGTATGCTATGTGTATGCCACCCCATATGCACAGCACCCATTTGACCATGTGGTCCTCAAGTAGCCAGAGATATGCACCTGATTGCCGGTGTCTGTGTATGGATACCCCTCCCCCACCCATTCTAGGGTTTGAACACGTAACCATGTTCCTATCGATGCTTACTTAAGCAATAAGGGCAGGCAGAAATATA